TTAATGCACTAGGCAGTGGAAGGGGTCCTGTAGCTCTCAGGGGATTGCTTGCTGTCCATAACAGGAGAGGAAGGTGAAGGAGTGAGGCTGGGCGGGGTTAGGTTGGGCAAGCTTGGAAGGCTGGGCAATGTCTCAGCAGGGCTCCAAAGCCAGAACCCAAGCCTCTAGGAAAAGCTTGGGAGAGGGGCCAAGTGGTCTCTCAACACTAGAAAGACTGCTCTTGGGGAAGGGTACATCTGTAATTCACCAATTGGCTCTTGGAGTGAGGCCCTCCTCTCTCTTGCTACCTCTGCCTCAAAGCTCTCTCTAGTGTCTGTTTTCAAATGAGGGTCGATGGTGTCACCCTCAGCAGCAATGGCAACACAGGCTGGGACCTTCATATAAGTGGAGTCTCCCTAGACAAAGAGTACCACTTTCCTGTGGGGGAAGGGCACTCCACCAGATCACTATGGCTTGGACCCCCACTGTACTCTCCAGTCTGTTCTGGAGTCCCTTGCCTCCTGAATCAAGCTCTCAAATCTCTCCTTTGTGATCTCTAGCAACCTTCTGAAGTCCAGGGGGGATGGGGTGGATGCAGCCTGTGTATCTGACTCATTGGCATGAATCTCTGTGGACTGCTGGCAGGCTGAGAACTCAGAGATGTGCACCCCTGGGTCCACTGCAGGTCTCCAAGGAGAATGTTGTGGACTCCACTCTCCACAGAAACCCTAGCCTGGCAGACACCACAGCTGATGAGAGGAAACTATTCCCCAAATCTCAATCTCCCCTCCTGGCTGCAGTGGGCAGGGGTGGGGCAGGACATGAAGAGTCTGAATGGAAGAAAGCTGGGACCCCAACTCCTTCAGTCCTCCTCCATGGAAGGAAGACTGCATAGGATGTCCAAATGCCAGGATTACAGTTTTTCACACCACTCAGTAGTTGCAGTAGAGCCCAGGCTCACAAGGGTGGAAAAGCTTCCAAACAACTCAGTCCTCGCTGGTTAGTGAAGGTGTGCGGAAGGGAGACATGAATCCCCCTTACCCTTTCACTGTACTCTGAGCCTCAATGGGTTTGGTGCTCACCGATTTCTTCTCCTCTTTTTTTTGTTCCTGTTCTGCTTTTCAGTTTCTCTCCATGAAGTGCCCAGAAGGCTCCAGAACCTCTGCCTGGAACTAAGCCCAGTCCCACCCCTCCTTTATCCAAAACCTTTGCTTTCCTCTAGGATGCTCTGACAAGCAATATCTCTAGTCAACCATCTTGCCCTCTTCCTATATACTATGTTCTTATAATTCAGTAAGGCAGAGAAAATCAAATGTTATTAATAAAATCATAAGGAAGATAAAATATATTTTAAGTGAAATAAAATCATCATACCTGGTTCATTATGAAAATTTTGGGATCCACAAAAATAAAGAAACTTAAAATCTGCATGGATGGAAACAAATGAAGCCCTCCCAGAAACACCAATAAGGTTAACAAGATGAAACTTTCACGGTGAATCAGAAAGGACAATGTTGACTGTGTTTCTTGGAAGTATAATAATGGACTAAAACACAGTCCATCTCAAAATTTTCATAGTGACCCCCATAAAGGTCTTCATCCTTGTTTGTCATCTTCATGTTGAGTAGGCTGAGGAGTAGGAAGAGAAAGGGTTGGTCTTGCTGTCTCAGGAGCAGGAGAGGTGGAAGAGGTGAAGAAGATAGAAAGAGAGGCAGGAAAGGAAGGTGCACATGGCATAACTTTACAGAAATGAGGCACATCATAATTTCTGTCTGACTCTTTTGCTTTTTCATTTCTCTAAAAGTGCTTTTATAAGGCACCAATCCATTTTACACTGTTTACTTTAGTTTTAATGCCTATATTATAAAGGGGCCCCGTCATAAAAGTCAAAGTAGTGTTGAATAATAGGAATGTGGCCAGACTGTCTAAAGTTGATATGCTTTACAGCATATTTACAGCGTTCACCTATATCAAGTCATCTTCGTTAATTCCTCTGGTGTGGTGTCTCCTAGTTTCAGAATTTTTGCAAAATCTGTTCTATATTTTCAAACACTTGACCCCTCCCCAAACATGTATTTTTTTTTTTTTTTTTGAGACAGAGCCTCAAGCTGTCCCCCTGGGTAGAGTGCCA